CATGTACACAAACATATATTTCAGACAAGACTAGACCTTACAAATATTTTATATAAACACATATGCAAATGCCTGTAAATGCTATTCCTGTCCCAATTTGTAAGTTATAATGTATCATTCTGATCCCGTGACAGGAAATGGATGGATACTCTGGCTCAGATATAAAACTCGTGTGCAAGGAAGCAGCTATGAGACCAGTGAGGAAAATTTTGGATGCTCTTGAAAATCATCAGCCAGGTACCACAGCTCTGAGCAGGGAGTCCGACCTGTAAAATGCTGATCTGCTGTAACTCTAGGAACGATCACGTTAATTCCAGCAGGTGGAGCTCTGATATCTGCCTGGAAAAGTTTGAAACTGCATTTCTAAAATATCTAAATTGTGCTTTCTTTAAAGGTGTCGGTGTCTGTGCTCCCTACGTAAATACACATTTTTCTTGAGCTCATTACCTTTATTCTGTTGTTTTCCTATATTAAATGTTCTATTAGGCAGGGACACAAAAGAATGTCTTTTGGTAATAATAGTACTTAACAAATTCTCTTCTCTTTAGGTAACGGTAACTTGTCCATGATCCAATTGGACACAATCACAACGGCCGATTTCCTGGATGTGATCACCCACACCAAGCCATCAGCAAAGAATCTAAGCCAGAAGTATACAGCTTGGCAGAGAGAATTTGAGTCAGTTTGACAGAAATCCCCACCCTGCAAGATTTGTATTCAAAGTGGCATTACCTTGCCTCCAAAGGAGGTGGTGGGGAAGGAAATGCTGTGTCCAGGGAAGAGAATGTAGTGTGACAAGTGTCAGAGTAAAATCTTTACTTTCAAAATTTAAGGGTGGTTTGAGTGGTGGAGTTGGTTATTTTTCATTAACCATTTTAATGACCATTCAAAAAACATTCCTCATGGAATTAATGTAATGGCAGTTGCTGTGTAATGAAACCTCCAGCCTTAATTTTATGTATAAAGACTTTCAAAATTGATTGCTTCTCAGCCTTTATTCATGACAGCTGTGCACAGGTTTGGGGTAGAACTGGAGCAGAAAGTTTAAGAACAGTTAGACAGTGCAATTCTACATTTCTGAGACTCACTAGAGCATCACAGTCAGCATAGCTTTACCAGCAGACACATGCACCTTCTTAATGGAACATGAAACAGCAGTTTTCAGAGAAATTCAGGACCTTAGCAGGGCCATGTAAATTTGGTTAGTTTGTCATGGTTTTCAGCTGAGTTTAAAGCCCTGATGTGCTGTGATGTGTTACTTTCCTGCTGGTTTGGGGCATTTCCAAGGTGGAAAAGGCAGGGAATTAAAGTAAAATGTAGAAAATCAGCAGATTTAGGCTAATTAACTAGAAACTGTATTGGTGGTTATCCACTGGTTCACAGCCAGCCCTAACACAATCCCAGAATGGTTCAGGTTGGAAGGGACCACAGTGGGTCATCTGGTCCAACCTCCCTGCTCAAACAGGGTCATCCTAGAGCACATGGCACAGGACTGAGTTCAGATGATTCTGCAGTATCTCCAGTGAGGGAGATTCCACACCCTCTCTGGGAAATCTGTTCCAGTGCACAGTCCCTCGCACTGTAAAGAAGTTCTTCCTTGTCTTCAGGTGGAATTTCCTGTGCATCAGTTTCTGCCTGTTGCCTCTTGTCCTTTTGCCCAGCACCACTGACCAGAGCCTGGCTCCATCCTCTCGGCATCCTCCCTTCAGATACTTACGGACATTGGGGAGATCCCCACTCAGTCATCTCCTTCCTTCTCAGGCTGAACAGGCCGAAGTCCCTCAGCCACTCCTCATGAGAGAGATGTGCCAGTCCCTTAATCCTCTTTGTCACCCTCCACTGTACCCAGTGAAGTATTTGCAGTGAGTCTTTGCAGTGTAGTGGTAAATACTAACGAAGCTGGAGACTTTTCTGCTTACAAACGTGGCTGGGTGAGCAGTCAGGACTGCCATGTGTCCTGCAGTCTTCAGAAATTCTAACAGGTCATTTTTTCAGACTCGAAATCTCATTGCTGCCCCTCTCTCTCTCCCTCTTGCTTAGCAAGACACTTAACCTCTTTGCAGTTCTCCCAGTGTTTTCCTCGGGCTTGTGTGCAGCTGCATTTCAAGTACCAGGATCATACATGCTTTCTAGCAGGTTCCAGGAGCTCTGCAGCACTGACAGTCCCTTTTAGTTCCAGCATCAGTCACATGTTCTCAAAAGTCTCCCCAGGGAAAGTATTCACAGGATTTTGCCTATTGATCTCTCACCTTCCGAACCTGATTCTGACCCCAGGCCACAAACCTTCCTTACATCCTCTGAGCAGAATCAAAGAGGTTCACAGTTGCTGGTGTGAACACAAGATGTGTGAACTTACCAAAAACTGTAGGTTACAATGTACGAGGCACACAGCATCTAAAGAAGGCTTCTGTTCCTGAGGGGTGTCTCCTCCTGGGTAACAGGAAGTGACAGGACAAAAGGAAACAGCCTCAAGTTATGCCAGGGGAGGTTCAGGTTGGATATTTAGAAAAATTTCTCCACTTGAAGGGTTGTCCAGCCCTGGCATAGGCTGTCCAGGGCAGTGGTGGAGTCACCCATCCTGGAGAGGATGACTGCATAGATGTGGTATTTGGGGACATGGACTAGTGGTGGCCTTGGCAATGCTGTGGGAATAGTTGGACTCTGGTCTCAGAGGGCTTTTCCAACACAAATGATTCTGTGATTGATTCTTGTGTTTCTACCGCAAAATCTACTCCATCCACATGTTCTGTCTCTGACAGAGATTAAATCTGAATGTAGTAACCACCCACCAAGTGAGGCTGCAGAGAGACACTGTCACATGTGAAGAAGTTCATTCATCACGATGATTTTGTTTAACAGGAATGAGCATGGCTCATTAACACAAAACTGTATTTTCAATAAGGTTAATACTCCAATAATGCATAATTACAATCTAATAATTTAACACTCAGGAGCACTGTAAAACAACTGTAAAGGACTTTGATTATTACAGTTTGCAAATGGACCAGAAAAGCCATTTACCATCATTACAAAGTTGGTTCATATTGTCGGATGTAGTGCCTAGGAAAAACATTGCATGCTACAGAATTAAATTTCATTTTACAGCTCTGCTAACCAACTGTGTAAAAACTGGAATCTGTCCCCATGGCTTGTGAAGGATTTTTCCCATAACATTAAAAAGAAACAAAAAAAATCCCCAACAACAGTGAAATTTTGCAACTGTAGCATTAATAGGACCCTGCTGAAGCCTAATTTTAAAAAGTCACAGTCTCCAAGGCATTCAATACCAGAGTTTTGTTTCTGTATCATTCTTTTTAATAACAGCATCTAATTAAAACATCTGTAAAATGCTGACAGTTTTTAATTTTATGTAAAATTTGACAAAGGAAGAACAGGATCTGCTCTAATGAGACAAAAAACAACCACAGTAGTTATTATTAAGCAATGCTGATATTTTAATTTAAAAGTCACTTCTAAACATGCATAATCTCTACCTTTAAATAAGAGCAGAGCAGAGATGTACTCATTGAATCACTACAGGCTGACTAAGGCTCTGTGAAGTGTTTGAGGTTTATTCACTTGAGTATTTTCAGTGCATTTTTCCAGTTTAGCTTATTCTGCAGAAGATGACACTTCACAGACAGGGCTTTTCATCAGGTATTTCCTGAAAACTGAAAACAAACAGAACTCTGCTACACTCCTTGTGTATGTGGACTGTGCCGGCCCACACGAATCCTCTGTCCCTTACAGCCTGGGCAGAGGGAGCTCGTGGCCAGGTGTCTGATGCCATGCATGCACTGATCTTGGGACCTTAATTTTTGAAGCAAGAACGAAGGAAATGATGTGAATCAGGTGTTTTTTTTCAAACTAACTATTCCCTTTCTCACAGCATATGCTTTAGGATATGTTCCACTGCCTCTGGGAAATTCTCACAGGTCAAGTACGGAGCTGGATTGATTTTGTCTTCATCTGCCGGTCGATATTTACCTGTAACAGATTAACAAAGTGACTCATTTACCAAGCTCCTCCAAGCAGCCTTTTTTTCCCCCCCTGAAAACTGCAGCCTCCTCAGATCAGTAACAACCAGACACGGTAGGAGGAATGCCCATCTGAGGCTCTCCTGCAACAAACATCCTACAAGGCTTCCCTAAACAAACACTGAGCCTTACTGGAAGTATCTCTGGAAGTTTCTGGCTCAAAATTAGTGTCACTTATGCACTGTTTCACACTGCTGTACCGGCACTGTTCTCTCACTGGCTGTTCAGTGTCCATCTTGTAGATTCTTGAAATAATAATATTATTTTCACTTCTGTGGAATCTGAGAATCACCAAATAGTTTGGGTTGGAAAGGACTTTAATGATCATCTAGTTCCACCTCCCCAGCCATTGGCAGGGACACCTTCCAATAAACCAGGTTGGTCCAAGACCCATCCAACCTGACCTTGAACACTTTCAGGAATGGGCAGCCACAGCTTCTCTAGGCAGCCTCTGTCAGTGCCTCCTCACCCTCACAGGGAAGAATTTGTTCCATGTAAACTAATTTCCTATCACTATAGTTCCTGATGAAGACTGTCTCTCTGAAGACTCTCTGAGTCTTCCCCAGGAAGGATTCCTTACTTTCATTTTCAACATAACAGACTGTGTGGCACAAGCAGCTGCCACCTCAGAAAGACCTTACCCAGTCCACAGTACGATCAGTAACACTGGCAATACTGTCAGTCCTTTCAGGTTCCACTTTTATCTAAAGCAAAATCACATTTATAATGACCAGTGGAATTACTAGGGAATGTCAGCAGGGTTCCTGAGCAATCAGAGACTACATTGCTATGACTGATTTTGGCACTTTAAGATGTCACAGTAACAGTTCTCTATTCTGTAATCAGTGCTCAGGACTTTAGAGTCATTAGAGCAAAAATTTCACACCTACAACACCAGCCACCCCCATCTATGACTTTATGTCACCCTGCTATCAGTTCAGGGTCTGTGCTGTCCTCTAAACCCTGTTGTCACAATCTACTGCTTGTCAGGCTGCCTCTGTCTGATGTATTCCCCCCAACATGGATATGCCTGGACTCGCAGTCTCCCAGGAGCCCCTTGGTGTAACAAGCTATAGGGAAGGTGGGATGCTACAAAGCACCAGGGGCAGACCCAGGGCTCAGAGCGTACCTTCACTTTGGGCACAGGGGCTGGCAGTACCCAGGGCCAGATCATTGAAGGCACCACTGCCTCCTGAAATGACTATCCATCAAGTACTCACCTGTCCTCACCAAAATCCCACGCATGCCCACCTCCTGGGCACCACCAGCATCATCCCTGCAGTCCTGGGACAGAACAGGAGAGTAGATGGTAAGTGGGTACAGACACCTTCGTAACAATTTCTGGTTTGCACATCACTGAAAAGCAGTGACATGGAAGTCAAATCTTTCAGCTACCTGTCACTGAAACTGTCACAGGAATAGCTTACTACATGCTTTTTGCCTGATCAAATAGTGACTGAAGTGAAAGAGGTAACCCCATAGATTACACATTAAATCCTGTGAGTTTTCATAGAATCGTTTAGGTTGGAAAATACCTCTAAGATTAAGTCCAACCATTCCACCAGCACTGCCAAGTCCACCACTACCCCATGTTCCCAAGTGCCATATCCACACGGCTTTTAAATTCCTCCAGGGATGGGTACTCCTTCACTGACCTGGGCAACCTGTGCCAGGGCTTGACAACCCTTTCCACAAAGAAATTTTTCCAGCCTAACATCCAAACTAAACCTCCCCTGGCACAACTTGAGGCCATTTTCCCCTGTCCTGTCAGCTGTTACCTGGGAGAAGAGCCCGACCCACACTTTGCTACAACCTCCTGTCAGGTAGTTGTAGAGAGTGAGAAGGTCCCCCCGAGCCTCCTTTTCTTCAGGCTGAGCCCTCCCAGCTCCCTCAGCCACTCCTCATCAAACTTGTGCTCCAGCTCCCCAGCTGCATTGCCCTTCTCTGAACATGCAAAGCGGTGGTTCTAAAGGAGAGAACCACCCCTCTGCAAACACTGCACACGGTGGAGATGAGCACTTTGTCAACAGGCAGGTGTAAGGTTTTTGGTCCCCACATACATCACCGATCATGACAGCCTCCTCTGGGGCACAGCCAGTTCCTCGCAAAGCTTCTAGGAAGAAGGTTTTCTCTGGCTTCCCCACCACTGTTGCTTTGGTGTCTGTTGCGTACTCCAGTCCAGTTACAAAAGGTCCAGGTCCCAGAGACAAACCATCTTTCTTCTTGAAATACCTGGCTTTATGGATTGCTATAAGAGGAGCCCCATCCAAAATCAACCTAAAGAATGAATGAAGAAGAAAGTACAAAAATTGTATTAAAATTATGTTTACAGCTGAAGTAGCCTCAATGAATCACAGAATGGTTTGGGTTGGAAGGAACCTTAATGATCATCTAGTTCCAACATCCCTGCCATGGGCAGGGGCGTCTTCCACTAGACCCGGTTATTCCAAGCCCCATCCAACCTGGCCTTGAACACTTAAAACAATGGGGCAGACACAGCTTCTCTGGGCAGCCTGTGCCAGTGCCTCACCACACCCACAGCCAAGAATTTCTGAAAGGTACAGGATAAATCACTTGAACTTAACTTTGTATTTTATCATTGAAGAAATTATGATAACAAATGACATAAACCCCCACAAAGCTATTTGATGAATTCATGTCCCACTGAATTCCCCAGTTAACAGTGCTATTACTGAGCATTTTAGAACCAAAGCTGGATTGGAGTACCTTGCTGCTGGAAATGAAAAATCCAAGCGGAATTTCAAGACAGTTCAAAGCAACAAGACACCAGATTCCCAACACTTACTGTAACACTGTGCTGGAGTACAATAAAAGGGTCACAGAAAAAGGGTCAGAATGCAAGGTTTGGCAGCACTACAGGAGGGTCTAGGCTGGGCATGGCACCTGGGAGCCTCAGGAAGTGAATGCAGCAGTGGTCTGACATGCTGGGAGCTGCTCCCTGCCAAACAGGGAAATCCTTCCACAGGCCCAATTCTGCCCCAACACACCAGCCTGCATCCTCCTTGGGTTCCACAGGCACTATCTCTGCCTGCCTGCTGACCTGCCTGTTAAAAGAACATGGGATTGTCCGGAGTGCGTGGAAAAAAACATAAGGGTAGAGGTAATTAAGAAACTGCTGTAGGCTCCACTGATCTCAATCAGAGCCTCCATAGCGTTGCCACCCTGTCACGTGTTCACATTTGCTTGAGGGCCCACGTCTAATATCTGCCTGTAAGAAGACCCTTGTGGCAGGAAGACCATCTTGTTAGCACACACTGTGCCCGAACACAGACCCCTGACAGCAAAGAAGAGCTTAAAGCAGTTTTCACTGAATCTGCACCTCATCTTCAATCCTTACAGTTCTGTTATGTGCCTAGTAGTTTTTCCTTACAGCAGCTCCCCATCCCGCAGCAAACAGAAACCTGTGTAGCTGCTGCACTAGAGGAATCCTCCTGGTACCACCAAGCACAGCAACATTATTGCAGAACTCCCCCCCCCTTTGTTTTGGTGCAACAAGAGCCTTCTAAATAGCATCTGCACCTCATCTTCAATCCTTACAGTTCTGTTATGTGCCTAGTAGTTTTTCCTTACAGCAGCTCCCCATCCCGCAGCAAACAGAAACCTGTGTAGCTGCTGCACTAGAGGAATCCTCCTGGTACCACCAAGCACAGCAACATTATTGCAGAACTCCCCCCCCCTTTGTTTTGGTGCAACAAGAGCCTTCTAAATAGCATCTATAAAAGCTGAGAAAGACTGCCAAACGTTTCCCCTTAGCTATTACACCTTCTCCAGATACTGCAGGTAATTCCAGTTTTTGTCACAACAGATAGGAGAGTAACTAGGATATCTGGGGGGGCAGAAAGAAGGATCCCTCTTCCCTTTAGCCCCTCCTGATTCACAAACCAAAACAAAACCAAAAAGCCTTTAAGAAAACAAACAAAATCTCGCTTTGTCTCTGTGCAAAGAAACCGGCTGAGGTGAGCTGAATGCTTCTTGGAGGATGTCTGCTTCTTCCCATGAGCTTGCAGAGCAGGCTGGGTACTCTGAGCAGTATTTAAACAATAATAATCGTTTCACTTCGTTATCACAAAACACTTCTATTGAATCAATGCGTTCCAAAGCAAGCTCAACAAGACGAGAGAGCTGGCATGTCTGTCTGTGAGCTGACAGTACATTCATGATGGGAGGATGCCTCTAGGTCACAGAAAAATTTGACAGCAGCACCACAGCCACTACATTCAGCAGTCTGTGCAGGAAAGATCTCACCTGAGACAATTCTTTTAAATGTGGCCCAAAATCCCAAGCACATAAAAAAGAGAAGGTTTGTCTCAGTCATTTCAAATGGTGCCTAGAGAACAGCCTCACTCTGTGTACCCCGTTTTGGGACTCATATCGGGTTAGATTTACCTAACCTAATGTTAGATGCCAACAGAATAATTGCCTGCCAGTCAGCCTGGGCTCTTCACAGTCAGTGCAGAGGAAAAAGCACTTCTAGGGCACAGTTCAACTGCCCTATTATAAACACTACTAGGGAGAAAATGAATGGTGCCTTACAAGTGTCTCCCCTCTCCCTCCAGAGCCCACGTCACCAGTGCAGACAAAGGCACCAGCACTGTAGATATCTGCATTTAATCATATTCACCTTAAAGTTTTGCAATCCCAATGCAATTTCATTTTCAAGGCAAATCCCAAGCGACTTAATTATCTGAGCAGTAAAGGAGAATGAATACAGACATGGCATAAGGCTCAATAAGAAGATAATGTGGCCAGTGGTATTTCCATCAGGCTAAACAGAACCAGCATCAGCCAAACAGTTTACCCTCAATAGAGGACTGGGGGAAACACCCAGAAGAAGTCAACAGGGTGTTAAAGATCAGACAGAGCCCATCCTAGGCCTCTGCCCAGCCTGAAACACCGGGCCAGGAAAACACCAGGCAAACCCAGGGCAGATCCAGAGAGGATGAAATCTGCCTCCAGACAAACAAGCCAGCCAAGTGGCTGGGAATGTGTCTGTACAAGGCAATGGGAGCTGAAGGACTCAGCCTTGCTCAACACTCAGTCACACCACCCAGACAGTGCTGGATACAGGATGCTGTTACCCTCTAAGCACCTCTCTCCCGGGCAGCAAGGCCATGCTGCACACACTGCAGGGGACTGGATTTGGCCTTCAGCACCTTCCTTCCATCACCAGAGCTTCCATCACCAGAGCTAGTGTCCAATTCTGTCCTTAATGTAAAAATCCCAAATCCAGCCTGGGACAACCTCACCCCACAGGGCCAGTTCCACAGGTGTTCTGACATACACTGGGAGCCTGGGGCCCTCCGGGACTCTCCATGTCATCACTGGTTTCTTGTTTTAAGTGTCCTGATCTCCAGCCTCAGGCAGCTAATGGATATTGTTCAACAGTTAATATACTCAGGGCAGAAATATCAATAAATAACACAATGCAAGCACTGAAATATAAAAAGGGTTAAGCTCATGCAGTTGTGAAATTAGAGTCCATTCACAAGTGCACTGTAAAACTCCAAAATCAATGCCTTTGGCAACATGCACTAACGATGCAGAGTCAGTTTGGGCCCAAATATGTTGTTATGACACGTAATTGGCAGCAGGTAAGGACAGCATCGGCCTCCTACACTAAGGAGCTTCTGTAAGAGAATGGTGAGCAGTAACTGATACTCACTCTTTGGGGTTTGTTGTTATAAAGACAGATTAAGACTCCTGAGATCAGGGTTTTTTCCAAATTGCAAGGTGCAAAATTGTGCGGTAGCCAACATCCCATGAGCAGAGAGTGGAAAGGACTTGTCACATACATCACCAGGGCTACACTCAGCAACAGGATCATGTTCAAGTCTCTTCAAACTAAAGGTTTTTTCAAGTTAAAATCAAGAGTGTTATGTTGAGCTAGAACCAGAGAGGACACATGGCTCTGCAACAACACAATATTGCAGTCTGGCTCATGGATGGTCACAGATGAATTTTACCTGATTTACCCCTTAGTCTACAGACAAAACAGACAGCTTTAGAAATACAACACTGGATCCATAGTTCACCTAGTCCACCATGCTGTGCTGGCCACTACTGAACACGAGATGCTCCAGAAAAACAGACTTTTCTGAAGTCAGGCAGACTTTGGCCTGTTTAGGTCACTGATTAACAGAGTCCCTTGGGAGTCAGTCCTGAAGGGTAAAAGGAGTCCAGGAAGGATAGATGTGCTTTACAAAGGATTTGTTAAATATTCAAGAGCAGGCTGTCTCCAAGTGTAGAAAGACAAGTTGTCAGGTTAAAAGACCATCCTGCTTAAATAGATAATTGAGGCTGGATCTTTGGGAAAAAAAAGATAATCTATCATCTCTGAAAGGAGGGTCAGGTAACCTGCAAGGACTGTAAGGGCATTGTGAGGTCCATGGGCCCTGATGGGATCCACCCCAGAGTAATGCAGGAGGTGGCAAAAGAACTTGCCAAACCAGTCTCAAACATCTACCAGCAGTCCTGGTTAACTGGAGAGGTTCCAGCTGACTGGAAATTAGAAAATATAACACCCATCTACAAGGGTCAGAAGGTGATCCAGGGAACTACAGACTTTTCAGTCTAACATCAGTTCTGGGCAAGGTTATGGAAGAGATTGTCCTGAGTGCTATTATATGGCACATGCAGGACAATCAGGGAATCAGGCCCAGCCAACATGGATTTATGAAGGGAAGGCCCTGTTTGACCAACCTGATCTCCTATGACAAAGTGACCCACTTAGTAGATGAGGGAAAGGCTGTGTACATGGTTCATCTGGACTTCACTAAAGCATTTGACATCATTTCCTACAGCTTCTACTTGGATGGGTGGACTCTTCGATGTTTAAAAATCTGGCTGCATTGGCCAGGCCCAGAGAGTTGAGGTGAATGGAACTAAATCCAATTGGTGGCCAGTCACTAGTGGTATTCCCCAGGGCTCAGTACTGAGATCAGTCCTATTTAACATCTTTACTCATGATGTGAAGATTGAGTGGCCTCTCAGTAATATTTGCAGATGACACTAAGTTGGGTGGGAGTGTTGATCTGCCTGAGGGTAGGAAAGCTCTACAGAGAGACCTGAACCAATTTGATCAATGAGCTGAAGACAACTGCATGAGGCTCAATAAGGCTCAGTGCTGAGTCCTGCACTTGGGACAAAACAACCCCATGCAGAGCTACAGGCTGGGGGAGGAGTGGCTTGAGCG